ATATATATGCATGTTTCCGGAAACTTTTGAACTATTATAAGGAGTGGGCCCATAGTACTACTAGTGACGATCCCTTAATAAGTGGGCAAATCACCCTCCGACCTACTGAGCTGCCAAGAGAAGGCAGGGGGAGTCGGACCCAAGGGTCTCGTCTAACTTGGGAGCTGGTATACTGGCCAAATTACCTCCTGTTTGTCTATTAGTGACGGATCCCACGATAAGTCAGACGAATCACCCTCCGACCTACTGAGCTGCCAAGGGAAGGCAGGGGGAGTCGGACCCAAGGGTCTCGCCTGACTTGGGAGCTGATAGACTGGTCTTTTGACCTCAAAACGTTGACACTGATTTTTCAACCAGACAGTGTAAGAAGGTATCATAATGCTTTCAATGTTTTCATGAGATGTTACATTTACACACTATCTGGCTTTAGTCACTCAGAACTAATAGGATTTTTTTTAAAAATTAAAGTTTAGATTCTATTTTGTTATTCAGACTATGTCAATTTTTTTAACTTTCAATTTATGCTAAAAAGTGTATCAGAGATCCTTCTACTCCCCCATGCACACAGCATCAGAACTTCAAAAATTAGATTTGGAGTACCCCCAAAAAAACACTTAAAAAGCTAACTAGTTTTTGTCCATGCAAACATGTTACTTACAAGATCTGGTACGGAAACGTGATACAAACTTCTACAGGTTAAATTAAATAGTAAGCAGAGAAATACCACTGGATTAAAAAAAATAATCTGCACTTTTAGTACTTCTGTAAGTTTAATTTCTTCTTTCATCATAAAACCATGCTATTTTTCATTACTACTAAACTCCAACACTTTTAAAAAACCAAATCACTTACTGTGTACTTACAGTGTCACAATGTCAATTACTGTAACAACAAACCCATTATAAGAAATAAGACTATGAATGAGAAACAGATATTGAGAAGACACATGAAAAACAAAAGAGTGTATTTGAAAGATTAAGTTCATGTAAAATTGTAAAAAATATGTTAGAAAGTAAGATATGATAGTATGATGAAAACATACAAATGTTGCCAAACCCATTTACCTGTAAGTTATCAGTGGATGAAATGGAATAAACTCTGCTGGTCCAAATTCCACAGAGCAGCCAGAAGTAACCAAGGTCAGCAACTCACCCATACATGTCAATAAAATCAAAGAACCACGTTTTAACATGCAAGCCAAGAAAAGGCTATCAGGAGTCCAACTCATATCACCAACCCAGTAAGATCTAAATTGTGCAGAGAGATATATTTTTGTCTGTCAAATTTCTGTATCAAAAGGTTAGGATAGTTAACAAAAAAAACACCCCAAACCTACAAAAAAACCACCACAACACAAAACCAAAAAATGTAGCAGAAACAACATCAATTACTGACCTGATAAACTTGGATGGGACCTTGCTATTCTTGCTACTACAACTTTTAAGGCTACCCGAAACAGTTACAAAATTCAATGTGTTTAAAAACAAAATCTGAGTTGCCTAGAAAGAAAAAGTAAATGTAAATAAAACATAAATGTTTGTATCAAAACGTCATTACTGTTAATAGAAATTGTTTCTACAAGTTACGCACTACATTTGATGTACTGGAAACATTATTATACACGGAAGTGACATTGCACTTAAATGGTTATTACTATTTAGACTATTTATTAATGTCTATACCTGTTTCTACATTTGAAAAATGATTAAAGATTATTATATACTCAATATATAATTCGATATTCTCTTTAACATAACTTTTTCTAAACCCAAAAAAATAACTTCAGATCAGTCTTTTCCAGTCTTGTTGGTAACTAACCACTGCAGCTTTGAAGGACTGCATCACACCATCCTGGTACAGTAAATAAGCTGGTCCATATTCCCTGTCATCATCAGCACAAAAAAACTACAAGGAGATTTTGCCTCCGAGTTGTCAGAAGTAATAACATCACGAAGTGGGTACATAATCTCCAATACACGGTAGGCTGAGGTCTGACTGACAGTCTTCCAGAATTCTTACAGATACAATGCAGTGACTGAAATTAAGTTTCTTTATTATTGTATTTCTTGGAAATCAGAAGCGACAGAGGAGCTTACATCGATTTCTTAACTGAACAACAGCATCTAAAAAAATTACAAGTTGTAGCAGAATTTTTTACCTTTGGATATTAATGTGAATATAATCACATGTATCACTAAGAATGCTGAAAAAAAAGTTATTATATCCTTGCTACCACTTCATTCAAACTGCACTATTAGCTTAAATGACGTGCTGTCTGTCATTCATACCTTTGGATCAGTCTGATTAACAGCTACTGCAAGTAGAAGTCCATCTCTTGCAAACGTACATAGTAAAGCTCCTCTTGACTTTACAGACACACACTGAGGAACTAAATTAGCAAGAGAACAAGTCTGCTGCAGCCAGTGGATCTGGTATGGCAAAGAACTGAATACCAAAAAGAAGACAATAACACCATGAGGTTACTCAGTTATGCTGAATGGGACGATTCACACACAGTAAAAAACTATGCAAGATAAAAACACAGAAAGCATCAACAATTAAAAAAAATAAATCTATTTTTCTTCAAAAACTTTACAAATGAAAAATATTTCGTATTAAACGAGTTAATAATTATGTCTGAGCAGTGAGAATTATTTTTATGGGACAGGAACTTGGGCTATGTATACAGAGCATGCACATAAACACAGACGCACGCCATAGAATTAAGCACATGCATTCTAGCCAGGAACAGCTTCCTCAGGCAGTGTAATGTCACCCAACACAGGAACACTCAGAACTCAAAAATTAAAATCAACAGTATGCTGCTCTGAACAAAGAAGTTGTGGATGTCCCATCACTGGAAGTGTTCAAAGTAAGGTTGAGTTGGGCTTCCAGCAACCTGATCTGGGGAAAGTTGTTCCTGTCAGGACATATCCATTTAAACTCATATATACATGTATCTCAGCTAGGAAAAGGAACAGAATGTACATGTACTCAGGATTATTATTCATTTGCATTTTTAAGTGGTTATATCAGTTTAACTATTTCAGTATATGGTCCCAGCCCAGATAAAGAAACGCATACACACTCTCTTACGTAGTCTCGGCATAAGAGATGAAAAGGCAATCAGAAAACAAATAGAATATACAAACATGCATAATAAAAAAGAGAAAGAGGTATTCAGGGCATTCGTGGCTGCACAGTATGCATGAGTAATGTAATAAGAAAAGGAAACTCTATTAGCATGATGCAAAAAATCCCTGTGACACACACATTTGTGTAGGCATTAGTGATAAATACACTCAGTTTTAGTCAGGAGTAAGTTAATAATGAAGCATGGAATACATACACGAATGCCGTTCCGTTAACTGCATTTAAACACTTGAAAATGACCATACATATATCCATACACGGATGATATATATGCATACATTGCCCATATATGGATACATAACGCAGCACGCTATGAACATACAAATGCAAACGTAAGTAGGTGCCTGTAACCATCGGCTAATTAGACATCAATGTAAACGTGTTCAATCACAGCTCTCAATCCCAGCTCTAAAGCACTTCATAATAAACACCACCTTCCTAAGCTAATGTGCCTTCAAATACTTTTGGACTTACCTAACATATTTAAAGCTATTTTCTTGCCATCGAACAATCAAAAATGTGAGCAACAAACATTCTCCAGAGTAGAACACAAAAGAACACAAACAGCAATCGCCCAGTATCTGTGGGGGAAAAAAATCAAAATCAAAACCAGAACAAACCCCAAAACCTGGCTACACACAATTGCTTCTTAAATTATTTCAGATTAAATAACTTAAGGTTGTAATTCAGGAATGTAAATGCTGGCAAGAACATTACTGGGCCAGTTAAACTTTGATCTGATCCAGTATAGCTGTTCTTGTCATTAAATCAAATACAAACCGAATGATTAAGCCTACTCACAACACCCAAGAGCCAGACACGGCTCTCAAAATTCACTGTAGCCTCTGTGGCTCTAATTTACTTAAGAGACTAAACGGTTGCTTTAGGGCTTACTTTCTTACCTCATTTTGTATGAAAGTAGCATGCACTCCAATTTCTTTTTCCTCAATAGAAGGCAACATGACCGATTCATCAGGCAAAATTTGCATCCAACGCCCCGAAGAATTTTTGCAAGAGGATGTATTTTCAAGTTCTGTGCTCTCCCACAAAAAGACACATGCTGTAGGAGTAGTTAATAGTGCCTTTCTGCCATCTCCGGATACATACAAGTACAATCGCATTAAACACTCTGGGAAAAGAAAACAAAAAACACAACAATGTGCCAGAATAGGTTCTGCTCCTCTGTTAGAGAAGAAAAGTAATTTCCTTTCTCTTTTCTTTTTAAATCTGTCACTAGAAATCCAAGCTGCAATGTTAAGTATCTTTTATTTCCAGCTTCATCACTGTTAGTAGACCTTAGACAGCAGTAATGTCAGATGGGACACTCATTTTTATGCATTTTATGAATTATCTTTCCCACAAGACTCAGCAATAACTCAAAACTCAATAACTCTCAGGATTTATTCCCTGAGATCGTCTTTCTTGAAATCCACCTTTCATGAAAATTATTAATAAATGCTTAAATGCTCTACTATCTATTACCTTCAGCACCTAAATATACTGTCTTTAAAACGAATTACTATTTACAGGGGATTACTAAACGCAAAAAACCTGTATCATTCAAGTGACAAAAAGGCCTTCTGTCAAAGCTTAGCTAGCATGCAAATTACACAAATGCAAAACAACGTGAGAACATGGCTTTTATTTGTGCAATAACACTTGAAAAAAAGAAAACCACTTTTGCACTATTCCATTTTTCAAAAGACTAATTGAAAAAACCTACCTTGTGCTGCTGCGACTACTTTCCTAGACTCTTCAATTGCTGGCACTATCTTCAAGCAGTCCTGGTCTTTATTCCAAAGAAATAACTCTCCTGTTGTAAGTATTCCTGCCAACCAAGCACCTGTGTTCATCGAGGGAAAGATGTTTTGAAGGATATTACTGTGAAGTACTTAAAATTACTTGCCTTCTATCTTAGCCACAGTTCTAAAGCTGACAGTAAACGAGCAGATCCTTTAGATATTCTACCTTTCTAAACTGTTACAACTACAAATAAAATGAGTTTATAAGACATGAGACATTATACTTAACCATTTCTTGATGTTGTTACAACAACTACATTTTTCAACAATGACTGCAGCTGAGGGATTTTTTTCTTTGTCTTCCCTGACACCAGATTAATTTCATTTATGCGTTTATCATCTAGAAGAAAAACAGCTTCTTTTTCCTGTTGAAAGAAAAAAAGAGCATTTCATTTCTTAAAACATTATTTTTTATGTAAGCCTTCAAAATAATGCAGAGATAAAAAATGCTAGGGAAAAGTAATTAAAAAAAAGAAAAGATGTTACAGGTGTAATTACCATTATTAACTTAATTCTTTGGTATACTTGCTTTACAGTACAACATCATATCCAGCATCAACCTACACTGATGATGAATTTTGTTCACAGGTTTCAAACTATCAAACTACCATTTTTGCCAGTGTGTACAATAGAAGAAGGAATTGGCCTTAAATGGTTACCTACTTAAACTCGACACTATTAGAAGAAAAAAAAATTAGATTTTTAGATGCAGGATGGCATGGAAAAAAAAAATTGTTTACAATTTCTGATGAAATTCCAATGAATTTTTCTGCAAAAAAGTTATGAAAAACTAGAACCATCAAAACAACAATCTCATATAAGGGATAGGTCTTTTGGAAAAAAAAAAAAACTACCAACCATTCTCCCTTGTTTATATGAGAAATTTTGGATGTCCAGCCTCAAGTCAGTAAGATTGAAAACCAAGCCATTTATTTCAATAACTCTTAAGTGGGGTACATTAAAATCACTTGCTGGGGCTTTTTTTACCCCATCCCCCCCATAAATGGAAGTGCAAAGTATTATGTAACTAAAAACCTTTACTCTTTTACACACTTTATTCAAATAAAAGTTCCTTACGCTTACCTGTCCAATCCATGAGATGCGAGGCCACGGTTTTCTTTGCTTGATACATGTAGAGATGAGAACATCTAGCTTAATCTCCATTCTTAACAAACCTCTAGGTAACCATTATAGAGAAAAACAAACGGTGGCTTTTTCATGTAACTACAGAGAATTTGAAGAAAGAAAGAAAAAAAAAAACCAGAAGTTTTACTATTTGGGGACCGGGAATAGAACATGGGAATCTGGACACAAACTCTTACTGAACACAAACGGCACTAACTGACCATGACCTTTCACTGCCAAACTAAGCAGCTATTTCCGTTCACGCAGCTCACGGGCTATCTGCAGTCCAGCCGTGCAGATCACACGCTTGCTCCAGAAGGAGCGGACAGAACGGAGCCAGCAGACAAAGCACCGTGACCACAAGCTTTAGTAAGAACGCAGAAGCGGAGAAAACTGCAGCCTCCCAAGCGCAGGAGACGCGAAACAGGCACAGCG